ATCAGGACTCCACTGGATCCAGCTCCAAATGGTAAAGATACATGACCAGAGGACCCTAAGCAATGGGTAGTATTCAGAATGGTTGGCCATGACTCTAGATAATGTGAGACGGTATAGGTCCATTAAGGCCATCTCCCCACAACCCCACCAGCACCCCAACACCCAGCTCTCTCCTAAGCCAAGGTGTTTTCCTCAGCTGCAGTAGTAAGTGACATTAAAACACAATTTACTACTAGCAAGTGGTGAGAGCTGGAGTAGATAATTTCAACATTTCCTAGCAAAATATCACTGAGCTCAGTGGGAGACACCACAGCCCTGCATTAAGTGACAAGAAAATGTCTCCTTTTCCACTGCCATTAGGAACAATCAGCTGTAAGACATTCAGGGAGAAAACCGACAAATGCCTCAGCATGAATATTGCAATCTTGGCAAGGATAGGGTGTTAGTATGGTAGTGATAGGTTTGGAAAATAAACCACTGTGATTATATGCCTGCCCCTCTTACAGAGACAGACTAGGAGTGAGCATAGATCATTTCAGACTTCTTGATCTAGTTGGGTTTGGACGATTGAGAAAGAGAGGAGAGAGAGAGAGAGAGAGAGAGAGAGAGAGAGAGAGAGAGAGAGAGAGAAATTGAACTCTTCTGTTTCAAAAGCAACAGATGGGCAGAATTTCAGAGCTAGAAAGAACATTGTGAGCCTATCCTGCTCATCTATAGACACCCAGACTCACAGGATATTAGAGCTGGCAGGGATATAAAAACCACTGAGTTAGACCTACAGATGGCCAACAGCTACATGAAAAGATGCTCAACATCTCTAATCATCAGGGAAATACAAATTAAGACCACAATGAGATACCATCTCACTCCTGTCAGAATGGCTATTTTAAAAAATGTAAGAGATAACAAGTATTGGTGAAGACGTGGAGAAAAGGGAACTCTTTTGCACTGTTGGTGGGAATGTAAATTGGTACAGCCACTATGAAAAACAGTAAGGAGGTTCCTCAAAAAATTTAAAAAAAACTACCATAGGATCCAACAGTCGTGCATCTGGGTATATATCTGCAGGAAATGAAATCACTATCTTGAAGTGATATCTGCACTCCCATACAGCGTTATTCACAATAGTCAAGATATGGAGACAACCTAACTGCCCATTGATGGATGAATGGATAAAGAAAATGTGGTATGTACACACACACACACACACACACACACACACAGTGGAATGTTATGCAGCCATGAGAAAGAAGGAGAGCCTGTCATTTGTGATAACATGATGAAACTATAGGGCATTATGCTCAGTGAAATAATGCTAAGTGAAATAAGCCAGAGAAAGTCAAATACTGTATGATCTTACTTATATGCGGAATCTAAAAAAAAAACCTCATAGAAACAGAGAGTAGAATGGTGGTTGCCATGGGCTAAGGATTAGGGGAAATGGGGAGATATTGGTCAAAGGGTACAGACTTTTAGTTAGAAGATGAATAAGCTCTGGGGATCTGATGTACAGCATGGTGAATGTAGCTAACCATACTGTATTATATACTTCAGAGTTACTCAGAGAGTAGATCTTAAAGATTCTCAACACAAAAAAAGGTAACTTATAGGGCCGGCTGAGTGGCTCAGTTCGCTAAGAGTTGGCTTAAGAATGCGAGCTCTGAGCAACAGCAATTTGAGTCCCTGCCTGAGCTGAGCTGCCGCTGAGCTGCCAACAGGTGGAAGGATGGCTCAACTATAAAAAAAAAAGGTAACTTATGTGAGGTGATGGATGTGTTAACTAACCTTATGGTAATCATTTTGCACGATATATGTGTATCAAATCACCACATTGTACAGCCATGCATCACTTAACAATGAGGATGTGTTCTGAGAAATATGTCATTATGTGATTTCGTCATTGTGCGAACATGATAGAGTGCACTTACACAGACCTAGATGATAGAGCTTACAACTCAGCTAGGCTGTGTGGTATAGTCTATCACTCCTAGGCTACAGACCTGTATAGCATGTTACTGTACTGAATACTGTAGGCAATTGTTACACAATGGTAGGTATTTGTGTATCTAAACATGTCTAAACATAGAAAAGGTACAGTAAACTATGGTATAAAATATAAAAAAAAACACAGTGTACCCGTATAGGGCACTTACCATCAATGGAACTTGCAGGACTAGAAGTTGTTCTGGGTATTAGTGAGTGAGTGCTGAGTGAATGTGAAGGCCTAAAACATTACTGTAGACTGTAAAGACTGTCCCACAAGCCCTCCCCTGTTTCCTTCTGACAGGGTCAGAAATAGAACATTGAAGCTATCAATGCTGCTGTATGAACAGGGATGTGGGCTGGCTTGATTGGAAATATTGAGGAGAAACTGGCTGAGTAAGGTGTAGATCAGCATTATATATATATATATATATATATATATATATATATATATATACATATATATATATATATATATATATATATATATATATATATTTAGTGACTGTCAAGAGGGAGTGGAAGGTGGTTTGAGGATCAGTAGGAAAAAATCAAGATGGAGAGAAAAAGGAACATAGGGATTGTAATGACAATATGCTATTGGCCACTGCATTTTGGAGCACTAGTCATATTAAGAAACCTTGTGGTATTCACTTACAAAATAAGGTGTTTAACATGGAGAGGGTGTAGAAATGGGGAATTGATAGTTTTACCTCGGAAATTGGATTTTGATTCCATTTACCCTAGTGAGAACAAAGGGCTCTCTCTGGCATTAAGTTGATGGAAGAAATAAAACAACTTTGCTTTTCATCATTACAACCTGAAAATATTCCCAAAGTACAGGGACAGGCTGGCTCCACACTAGCACAGAAAGCTTTTACAGTAGTGGCAGTAGCACTTAATATGTATTAAGGTAGCTCCTGTGGACCAGTATCCTTGTACAGAATCTTAGGTCTCAACAGAGAATTTACAGCAATGAACTCTGAAGTACATCAAGCTAGATCTGGGAGGGCTGTAGCACCTCTGAATATGTAGAGCTGGAGGGGACAGGATCCTCTGTGTTGAAACAGGTCAGTGGCTGACTGATGGGGATATAATCTGTGTAGTCAAAACTGAGGTGCTATGAGAAAGAGGGAATCTACTACTGCCAAGTCCCACATATATTGCTCCCATCAGAGAAAAAAAAATCCTCCTGAACCACATCTCATTCAATTTCGTGCAGGAAATTCAGATCCATTATAATCCTATGGGACCACCATTGTATACGTGGTCCATTGTTGACCAATATGTCGTTATTATGTGGCACATGACTGTATCTCAAATATATCTCAATAAAGCTGGGGGAAAAAGACCATCCATCCCAACCTCTTCAATTTTTATATGAAGAAACAGGCCACAAAAAGGAAAGTTAGTCAAGGTCATGCAGTTATAAACAACAGAACCAGGCTATGGTCCCTGGTCTTCTAACTCCAAATATATTTTCCCACTGTACTTCCCTCCCTTATCCCCCATCTAAGCACCTGAGATCTTAACCATCCCAGTAGATAATTTTATATTCTGATTTTTTAAGCTCTCCAATGAAAGAAATCCTACAAATTCAATTCGAAGAATATATTTCTTTTCCATTTATGGTTAGGAAATTCTTCCATATATATCTCAAAGTTCTTCTGCTGCAACATAAACCCATTCCTCTTTGATCTGTCTTTAAGTGGAAATGGACCACAGATGTTCACTATCATCAATAATATTTACGAGATATGGACCATATGTGTATACATATGTGTGTGTGTATAGGTATACCTCAGATATTGTGGGTTTGGTTCCAGACCATCGCAATAAAGTGAGTGTTGCCATAAAGGGAGTCATAATCATTTGCTGATGGAGGATCCTGCCTCCAATTTGTAAAAATTGCAACACCTGTGAAACGCAACAAAGTGAAGCACAATAAAATGAGATATGCCCATACACACACACACACACACACACACACACACACAACCAATAATTAAGCTTCTTTTCTATAGGCTAAAGGACTCTTCAGTAGCAAAACAAATCTGAGAAATAGCACCTATGAAGGAAGATAAGACTCAGGTGTTTTCATTCTGTGCTTCTATGCTACAGCAAAACTTTGAGCAACAGACAGACCCATGGGGGTGATCTAACATCCAAATTCACTGATACCCAACTATTGGGTTGTCAGAAAAGTCATGACGCATTTTTGCAACAAAAAAACATAGAAAAAAATATGTCATGCCTTTTCCGACAACCCAATAAATAGAAAGTCAGGTAGCCAGAACTCCTGTGTTAATACTCCACTTGTAGAAATGATAGGCAGATCATAAGAAAATAAGCTAATGTTAGGTATTTACTTTGGCATCAAAAAACAGGTCAGGGTCCAGACTGATCCCATATTCTATACCTTTGCCATTTTCACTTTAGAGCAATAAATATTGCTGATCCAAATAGTAATATGATGGTTAAAAATATTCAGCAATGGACTCCACTTCAGAGTGTCTCACAGTGAAGTACAGTTACTCATATATCCTTGATTAAAAAATAGTTACTCTGTCTGAAAATGTTGTCCTTGTCAATAGAGTGCTCATTTTGGGGAAGGAGATGACTTCTGTGAAGAGGGAGATAAGGCTGTCTTGCCTTCATCAGTTCAATCTCCCCTGGAGATTAGTGGGGTGACATGTAGCCAAACTGTGCTCATACCTCCTGAGATTTCCTTACTAAGTCAAGAATATGGATTCAGAGATTTAAAAATATGTTTAAGAAGAAACTAGAAAATTCTATTAAGTAGAATATCTTTCTCTAGATTACCAAGATCCAATGGAGTAAGAGTCCAAACTAAGTTGCCTTGGAAAGAAATAATTCAATCTAACTACTCGGAAAGCTAATGTAAAAGAATTGAGGCAGACTGTTTCATTGAGTTTCCTATGGGCTCCATACCAACGTGACTCCTCCTGAAGCCACCCGTGTAAAGGTAACGATCTTGGTAAAGCAAAGCTACTCACGGCAATAAGCTGGTAGGAGTTGTTCATCATGGCAATCAGCATGTTCAGCAGCACTACCAGGGAGATGACATTGTACGTCCCAAACATGGTAGCTCCCACAAACTCTGTGAACTCGTGTCTGGCTTTCACATTGGTGACATAGAGATTTAAAAGGCCAAATACAGACCAGAAGAGTGACTGAAGGGTTTCAAATAGCCTAAAGAGATGAAAGAGCAGGTTAGTTAATTGTCTAGGAAGCGCGAGAGAGAAAAACGTTAGGTGATCTGCTTAATGAAGGGGCTACCATATTTGTATCCAAACAGGTAGACTGATGGTCTCACATATTTTGGTCTCTTTCCCAACCCAAACCAGCCAGGTCAGTTTATTTGTATATTCCCACTTCTATTTCTTATGCTTTACCTTTCTACCTGTGACACCATCTCTCTTTTCTCAGTCTAACAGAGCTTGTAATATTTCAAGACTTACTTCAAGGGCTACTTCCTCCACCAAACTTTCTCTCTCATCTTCAGACCATATAATTCACCTGCCACCTGTCTAGTTAGAATTCAGTGGTGCTTGCATTTAGAATATGGTGCTTGGATTAGATTGCTCTGGGTTAAAATGTCAGCTCTTACACTTGCTAGCTGAGTGAACATGAGCAACTTACTATTTCTGATACTTCTTTTGTGGTTGCCACAGGGCCTAGAATGGTGCTCAGCTCAGAGGAAGAGCTTAAAGATTCTTGAATTAACCCTTTATGTGGATTATTTTTAATGTTGTATTAATGAATAATTACTGAACACTACAAAAGCATACTAGAAACTTTTATATACATTATCATTATTAACTACTTGACTTTGGGAAAGTTACATAGCCTCTTTAAACTTCAAGTTTCCTGATCTCTAAAATGGTTATTGATAGGATAACTACTAATTGTTAAAATGTATTGTTCTCTTACTATGGGCCAGGCACTGTGCTGTTTTGCATGTATTATAATATTTGATTCTCAGAATAACCTTATGAAGTAGCTACTATTTTTCTTCTATGTTTTCAGATGAGAATCTGAGGTACAGAGTGGTCACACAGGCCGAAGTGGCAGAAGTAGGATTTGCACCTATCTCTTCTGACTCTAGAGCTCACACACTTAACCACCTTACTCTGTTACATAAGATATTGTATTTAGCCCACTCAGCACAGTGCTTGGCATATGGTGAGCATTAAAATGGAAGCTATTCTAATTGTTTACTTGTGTTCTCCGTTAGGCTACGGACTTCTTGAGGATAAGGATGCTATCTTACTCAATATCTTCATTGCCTGACACATAGCAGTTGCTGAATATTTTTTTTAATAAGTCTGTAATAAAGATGACAGGAGAAGCAACTAACTAATAAAAGTATGAATGAATGGCACCACTCTGGTGACAGTAGCAAGAAAGCTATGAACTGAAATCAGTGGGAAAAGCTGGAGACAATCAATAAGGATATTTAATATCTTGTCAGAAAATAAAAAAGATGAGCCTTTGATGAGGACTGAGTTTGTATCCACGTAAATAAGATGGGGAAATATGGACCAAATGTTAGGTAGAGAAATCACCTCTGATTAAGTAGGAATAGCCACAAATGAATGGTGATAGTCTATAAGAAGGCCCCAAGTGACCTGCTAGGTCATGGCTCTGTGCTATTTAGCTTTACATATATTTGTGATTATTGAAACTTTACACAACAAATTTTACAAGACTATAAAACTGGTCTTATACCAGTTTTTATGCATCTCTGGATAAAAGCTCAGACTGGAGCTTATATACCTGGATTGAAATCCTGACTCTGCCACTAATCATTTATGTGACTGGGAGCAGCCTGCTTAGCTGCTTTGTCCCCTAATTTCTTCATTTGTATAATGTGTAATAATAATAGTGCCTACTTGATGGCATGGTTGTGAGGATTAAATGAGTTAATTCATGTAAAGCTCAGTTTGTAATAGTGCCAGGTCCTAGCACTCAGTTAAATATTAGTTGTTTCTATGAGTATTAACTTTCCACCTAAATACAACCTTGTTTAACCTTTCTTTATTGTCTTTATAGATTGTCATTCATTTGCATATCTAGTTGTACATAATAGCAATCATAGTGTATACAATTTTTGTGCTTTTAAAACTTACACATTTTGCATATATACAGAGTCTTCATATGTATCATTTTAATATATAGCTGCCCAATATTCCACCCAGTGAATACCAAGCCTGTCTGACAGTTTTATCAATGCTTTTGATGAAAATAGAAGGCAAGCTTCTTAGATTTTTAGATGGCACAATACTGGGAGTGTTGGTTAATAGATTAGGTGACAGGATGAAGTTTCAGGAAGATGATAACAGCCTGGAGCAATGTGCTAGAACTAACAAGGTGAAGTTTAATAGGGGTCAATGTAGAGCTTTGCTCTCAGGCCAAGTGCCCAAGTAAAGGATGAAGGAGGCAGGAGAAAGGCTAAGGGTTTTCACTGACAGAAAGTTCAAAGTGGATCAGCACAGTGACAAAGCTTGCCAAATACTTCAGCCATATGGGGGTGGGGTGGGCAGAAGCAGAAGGAGATCTTCTAAAATTCAAGTTAGGATTGCTGCTGGATTTCATTATTTTTTATCCACTTAATGATTCAATTGGTATGCTGAGCACCTTTATGTCTTAGTCTCCTCTATGATAGGCACAAGGCTTACTAAGTTGGGGGTCCCGGTCTGGTGAGTGAGAGAGACAAATGACTAAAATACAACATGTTATCTATTGTAATGTATATGTGCTTAAAATGCCATGGGAAAACACAGAAAGAGCCTGTTAGTGAGAGCAGGATCAGAGTAAGTAAAAAAAGGCTTAAAAGAGCAGGTAACACTTTGGCAGAGGCTTGAATGATGGGGAAGAGTTTTCCAGGCTGGCCAGGTGCAGCTGGGACTTCCAGGGAGAGACATTGCCATGTGATGTGCAAAGATCTGTAGGGCTGAGATGCTTCCCTGTAATTTGGGGATGAGCAAGATATTGGCTATGGAGGAGGGGAGTGAGCATCTGGGGGTGGGGTGGGGCAAATAACCAAACCCTATGTGCTATAGTAAAGAGGTGGATTTTATACCGGGGAAAATTCAGATACTTTGGTGATCATGGAGCCAGGACGGTTACAGGTTAACAGTGGTATTTAGAATGAAACTTCTGCATGGCAGGTGAGAAATTGTTTGGAGGGGAGATAAGACTGAAGGCTCAGAGGCCAGTTAAACATGCAGAAGTTCTTGGGAGAGATGATTTAGGTCTGAACTAAGACAGTGGCGTGCGTGCATGTGTGTGTGTGTGTGTGTGTGTGTGTGTGTGTGTGTAAAGGGTGGATACGAGAGATATTTAGGAAATAGAACGGACAGGGCTGAAAGGCTGTGTGAGGCTGGATGTGCTGAGACTGTGTCACATGAGAGTCCTAGATGACTTCTAGGATTCTGGCTGGTGTGACTTACTAAGATGAGGAATTAAAAGGAAATAGGTTTGGGGTGGTGATATGGAGATGAATAATTTAGCTGTGCACATTTTTTGTTTGAGAGGCCTGTGGCACAGCCAGGTATATTCAGGAGGCATTTGGAGACAAGGGCCAAGACCTCAGAAGGCAATGTGGGACTGGTGAGTTAGCTTCTTGCCAGTTCCACCCTTTTTCTCTAACAAGTCCTGTGCTCTCAGAGTGGTGATATCCTCCCAGTTGCTTCTCTCGACAGTAGCTGAAGGCCAGGTACTCCCAGTATAGATACTGAACTTGAACCATCAATAGTACTGTCATGTGGTTGTCAGCAAGGACAATGAAGTTCGCTTGAATTGTGTGCCAAGGGAAAAAAATATTTTTCCTCTTTTAAGTTGAAGAATAGCAATGGAATCTCTGGAGAATTAGAAGGAAAAGATGACAATAAACAGATGCTATACTTTGTGCCAGGTATACAAACAAGCTTACTTCCTCCTTCACTAAAAGCTTAGTCTTTCTGATGCTCTGACTGAGTAGTGTGTGTTTTAATATATTTTATAAATGCCTAAGTTGAGTAATTTTAAAGAAAACATAAATCAGAGTCAGAACTCTGTGGAGAAAAAAAATCAACACCTAGAGGAAAACTGAGCTAACATTACTGCTGATTTGGCCACAGCTCAAGGATGCTTCTTCATACCTGATGCCCTAAGATATAATTTCATGTATGACAGGTGCCCATACTTGTCAATTGTCCTTGCTGGGCAAGTGATGGGAACAAAATGTCAGTTGGCAACAGGGGTGTTAATCACTACAAACTTACAAGGGGACATTTCATAAATTTCATCATCAGAGTTCACATGAAAGGATAATTGGCAGGGATCTCTTCAATTCTGTTGAAAACGTTGATGGGAACTAATGCAATCTCCTGCATTCTTAAGCCACTACAAAATTGCTCTTTTTTGTTTTTTTTAAGCTGAGCCATCCTGCCACCTGTTGGCAGCTCAGCTCGGGCTGTGAATCGAACCGCAAAATTCCTCTTTATATTGAAAACTGTTTGACGTGAATTCTGTCTCTAGAGTTGTGAAGGAAGGGAAGCAGGTCCTAGTCCAGAGGCACTAGCAAGGTGACCAGTTGCCATTACAAACTCAGGGTTGGCTTAACCGAAAGATAACTATTTCTTTATCAACCCATTTTGTTCTATTTTTCCTTTCACGTGGGTCTGGTTTCCCCATCCAAAATTTTGACTTGAGTTCTGGGAAAAGAGGTAGGGGTGTGGCCTAGTGGAGGGAGGTGAGTGCTGCAAAATAGGCGAAGAATAAGCCAACATTTTTCAAACTCTGTTTGCTGGAACCTCATCCTGGCCAATATATTTGGGAAAACCTCTCTCTACATTGTAAACTCACAATGGAAAATATCTGAGAAGTCCTACAGTGAAGAAAGCTTTTAAAATGTGTCCCAGTATTTCCAAAACTCATTCAATCATAGATCCAATTTTTATGTCTATTATCATTTCCCTGAACTGTGGCTATTTGAAACTCATCTTTGGAAATGCTGCTAGAGGCAAATAATGGGGGTAGGCAAGGTAGCATTGTTTTTTCCCCCTCTCTATTTGTACAACTTGGGGTCAAGCAGAAAAACTTTTTTGTTTGTTTGTTTGTTTCCTGGCCTTTGTTAATGAACATATTTCTAGAATGTTTGAGTCCACCAATGCCTGACTGCCTTAGTTTATAGAGTAAAAGGGAAA